CGGTTGATGTTCGTTTTGGCGTTTTGATGTTCGTTGGGGTAAGATGACGGCTGGGCGTTTGTACCGGTTACCATTGAAGCGAGAATTGCGAAGGACGAACATTAATGCTTGGTGTCTGTACATGTTGGCGTACATGTTCGCGTTTAATGTTTGAGGTTTGTACATTTTGGCGTTTAATGCTATGTCACGTATGACACGTGTCAACAATACAACCATTAGACTCTCTTTTACATATATACTAGTTTTCTACCCCGTGCTAGGTACGGGCTTGTTATTGAGGCTAGGGTTGTTCAATCTGATCGATCCGATCCGATAATTCGGATATCTGAAAATTTCGGATCATGTAAAACGCATTCCATATCCGATTCGAAAATATTCAGAAATCCGAATTTCGGATATCTGAATTTTCGGATAATTGGATTATCCGAAAAGTTAACTTTTTAGCCAAAATTAGATGCCAAAATTTTGAGTCTTACTTTATGATTACACTTTAATCACTTCAGGGCATTTGTGCATTGTAAATTCAAAAGCCCCAAATTAAACATCCCCTTATTAGTTATTATTGTAGATTCAACAGCCCCTTATTCAACACTACCATCAGATTTAGTATTTATAATAGGAGTACACATCAGAGAAATCTTAAAATAGGGTTTTGAGCAAAATTAGATTTAAAAAAATTAACCATGCAATCGGATGATTCGGATCTATGTTGCTGTCTATTTGGGAAGCATGCATCTTCCGGTCGAAGAATTGAAGAAGAAGAAGAAGAAGAAGAAGATTAGAGATGGTCGCCTCTTCCGGTCGAAGAACTGAAGAAGAAGAAGAAGAGTAGAGATGGTCGGCGTTGGAGAGGAAGGCGATGGTCTATTGTTTCTCGGAATTCTCGCAAGTCGCAACACGCGAAGAAAGTGATGATACGAAATTAGGAATTATTAGGATATACGGGCGTACGGCAGATACAAGAGCATGACCAATGGTGAGTCAAAAATGGAAAGTCACACGCTGACGTGGAACATTTCAACCAATAAAAAACAGTCCAGTCAACGAGTGACATACAAGGGAGTGGAGTGGTATGCTCTGTAGTGGCAAGTTGTTGTTTTTATTATTCTTTTTTTATTTTTTTCCCATATTTGAATTATTTGAAGTTATTTAACCTGTTTATTTTATCATAAAAAATATTTCTATTAACTCAAAATTATTTAATTTACTTTTTAATAAAAATACTTTTACTTTTAAAAAAATTATTTTTTATGCAAACAAATAAAATAACAATAAATTTTTCTCACTTTTTACTTTTTTTTTAATATTTTGATTATTTGAAATTATTATTGTTATTTATTTTATCATAAAAAAGGTTAAATGGAGTATTTCCTTAAAAAAATTATTTAAAAAGTCTCTCTTACCAAAAAATAAAAAAAAAGAAAAATAGGAATAAGAGAAGGCTCGCAGATGACACGGGAATGGAGGAGAAACTCTACCACCACGCATGGCAAATAACCAAATAGGCTGAGGTGGCAGGGTGTGGGAATGAATCTCCACGCCGCTGCTGGTGCTCTAATTAGGCTTAGTATGGTATTAAAATATTAACTATAATTTGATAAAATTAGGCTTAGTGGCTTAGGCCTTAGGTATAAAACAAAATTTAAAAAATTTTCGGATACCCAATTATCCGAAAAAACTAGAATTTGAATCCATATTCCATCTGAATTTTTTCGGATATGCGATCCGAAATATCCGAAAGCTAAAATATTAGATCGGATATCAATTTTTCGGATCGGATCAGCCCCGATCATGACGGATATTTCGGATCGGATATTTTTGAACACCCCTAATTGAGGCAATGATTGGAAAAGAAGTGTTTGGTTTATGATTTGATTTTGTTCTGTGCTACGCTTGGGCATGTGTTAAAGGGTTGTGTATGTTTGTTTTTATAGGATTTTGAAATACTACATTGTATTCTTTTGTTTTGTGGAAAGTGAAGAGTGATATTATTGTATTTTGGGATTTTTTTAATTTGATGTTGGTGGTTGAAGAGATTCATTTTTTTGTAATGATTTTAGATGTTCGTTTTGGCGTTGTACCGGTTGATGTTCGTTTTGGCGTTTTGATGTTCGTTGGGGGTAAGATGACGGCTGGGCGTCTGTACCGGTTACCATTGAAGCGAGAATTGCGAAGGACGAACATCAATGCTTGGTGTATGTACACGTACACGTTGGCGTACATGTTCGCATTTAATGTTTGAGGTCTGTACATTTTGGCGTTTAATGCCATGTCACGTATGACACGTGTCAACACTACAACCCTTAGACTCTCTTTTACATATATACTAGTTTTCTACCCCGTGCTAGGTACGAGCTTAATATTAGGGCTCGTTGTCATAATGTTATTGAGGCTAGGGTTGTTCAATCTGATCGATCCGATCCGATAATTCGGATATCTGAAAATTTTCAGATCATGTAAAACTCATTCCATATCCGATCCGAAAATATTCGGATATCAGAATTTCGGATATCCGAATTTTCGGATCACTGGATTATCCGAAAAGTTAACTTTTTAGCCAAAATTAGATGCCAAAATTTTGAGTCTTACTTTATGATTACACTTTAATCACTTCAGGGCATTTGTGCATTGTAAATTCAAAAGCCCCCAATTCAACATCCCCTTATTAGTTATTATTGTAAATTCAATAGCCCCTTATTCAACACTACAATCAGATTTAGTATTTATAATTGGAGTACACATCAGAGAAATCTTAAAATAGGGTTTTGAGCAAAATTAGATTAAAAAAAATTAACCTTGCAATCGGATGATTCGGATCTATGTTTCTGTCTATTTGGGAAGCTTGCATCTTCCGGTCGAAGAACTGAAGAAGAAGAAGAATATTAGAGATGGTCGCCTCTTCCGGTCGAAGAACTGAAGAAGAAGAAGAAGAAGAAGAGTAGAGATGGTTGGCGTTGGAGAGGAAGGCGATGGTCTGATGTTTCTCGGAATTCTCGCAAGTCGCAACAGGCGAAGAAGGTGATGATACGGAATTAGGAATTATTAGGATATACGGGCGTACGGATACAAGAGAATGACGAATGGTGAGTCAAAAATGGAATGTGGCAGGGTGTGGGAATGAATCTCCACGCCGCTGCTGATGCTCTAATTAGGCTTAGTATGATATTAAAATATTAACTATAATTTGATAAATTTAGGCTTAGTGGCTTAGGCCTTAGGTATAAAACAAAATTTAAAAAAAGTTCGGATACCCGATTATCTGAAAAAACTAGAATTTGAATCCATATTCGATCCGAATTTTTTCGGATATCCGATCCGAAATATCCGAAAGCTAAAATATTGGATCGGATATCCATTTTTTGGATCGGATCAGCCCGGATCATGGACTGATATTTGGGATCGGATATTTTTGAACACCCCTAATTGAGGCAATGATTGGAAATGAAGGGTTTGGTTTATGATTTGATTTTCTTCCGTGCTATGCTTGGGCATGTGTTAAAGGGTTGTGTATGTTTGTTTTTATAGGATTTTGAAATACTACATTGTATTCTTTTGTTTTGTAGAAAGTGAAGAGTGATATTATTGTAAATCTTTAATGTAGTTTTTAAATTTACAAGTTTTACAGTACTCAGTATTTCTTAATTTTATACATATAATAAAATCAAATAAATTGAATTAAAAATAAAATCAGCCAAGTCTCGTAAGCATAAGGAAAAAAAACCTACATGGACCAAGGTAGTAATTTGTTTGAAAAAAAGTTTTACTAGGTCAGATGGTCCAATAGAGGATAAACTTATGAAAAATGATGTTTTTAAACTTTTTACATAGAGTACCATTTTTAAAACTCCGTAACATATTCAATGATACTATTTCGCGTTAACAAATATCTATAAAAAGAATGATTTCAAATATGATATACCCCAAATATGATTCCAAATTTACACGGAGCACTTTTTATTAAAGCAATTCTACCATTGATTTAAAACCCACATCACATTATCAATTGTTGTTGTTGCCGCAACGCTGTCGTGATGAATTGTCGAAGCAACACCATCGTACGCCGGCATTGACCACCGTTGACCGATGATTCACCACCGCTTTGCCACTATACTTCACCACCACACAGTCACTTATCACACCACCACATTACCACCACATTGTCATCATACTTTTAATTAGGGAATTAAAACTTTATATGACATTATTTTGACATTTTCATGTCATTTTACTTACTCTTATTTAGTAGGTGACAATTTCAATCCGACCCGCTATAACGGATAAAATCAAAATAAACATGGATAATATATGGATGAGGATGAATCGAATAATCGATCGAACACAAGCATGTGAGTGAAGATTTTTCTTGCCCATCACCCAATTCATCACCCCACTCATTAGTATTTGAAAAAGAAAAAACATGGAGTATTACGAAGTATCATGTTTAAAAAACATAAGTGCGTATCATTTTAAATAAAAAAGCTAATTTAATGATTCATCGTTTTACTTGAACTTCAATACTTTTTATACATAGAATTATAGAAGTAGATACTATTACTATTATTTAAAACATCTGTTTAATCTTTATGAAATCTTTCTTTGAAAATGCACATGAATGAATGTGGTACTATCTTTGACGATGTAAATATGAAAAGTGAAGAAAACACTAAAAAAACCAATCATATAGACATAGTGCCAATCAACTAATATTTCAATTTTTTTATTATTCACAAAATAATTGAGTGTATATATTTTCATTACATGTAAAATGATAAAGAGTAAAGAAATACATTTGTGAGATCAAGAATTGCTGATCGTGTAGAAAATGTTTTTGCACAAAAAAATGTCCCTAAATACTAGGGATGTCAATGGATCAAATTTTGATATGGCAATACTTCACCCTCATTCATCCATTTACTCACTATCTATCACTTAATATATACATTGGCTATTACATACAACATTCATTTTGGTACATCCATCATTCACGAGTAAAACAGATTCAAAAGAGTTGAAATTTATAATATTTTTTAATATTGCCCCAAAGGCATATGGTGCTCCCACTTGACTGAATGGTATCAACGTAAACATATTGTGTCCCTTCCTAATTCATCACTATACTCTTAAAAATTAGGGCACCTTGGGGAGTGGTCCATCAATCCTTCTTAGTATGACACAAGAAAAGGGATGACCATAGACAGAAACTCATCATAACTCAGCTTTGCAGAGCCTGCATACTGTGTATCCTTCTCTTTGAACTTCTCTGTCAGACCCTGGAAAACAAAACCCATATAGAAGGTGCACGATTCATGATTATGTACCTCCACCAACAAAACGAAAGGGAGAAAAAAAAAACAAAGAGACTTGCGTCTTTCAGATAGGGAGGATCTGTCAAGAGCTCTGAAAGCAAAATATGAGATTTTGACTTGCTTATTTGGCGTTAATGGTCAATGGATGTGACCGAACAGGCCCAAATACTTGGAAATATTCTATGCCACATAATAACTAATAGTGCTAAAGTGCATTTCAATATACCACTTTCAACATAGCCGCAGAGGATAACCTCGCGTAAAGCTCTTTTTGGGGTTCTCTTATCTATTCGGGGTTCCCCTCAAGGGCATATATCCTGGACTAAGAAGCCCCATTTTGGAGTTCTCGCTATCGAACCTTAAGTGGGCCTTTGCACCAAGCATTAAAAGTGCTGAAGTCATCGAACCATCTGATCTAAAAGATTAAGCTCGTGGATTGGTTCCAATTCATATCATTTGAATATAATCCGTCAACAGACGCCTAGTTCTTATTCCAAAGTTGGGGATAAATAGTTTCGGAGTGAGGCATGCAGCATTAATTTTGTCTGTGGGGCCAAAAACCATTTCAAGATATATATTTTTGGGGAATATGATGAGAAATAAATAGAGCATTCAACTGGAACCAATTCAAAGAGGCCAGAAACCAGGAATGAGGAGAGGGTAGAGAGAGAGAGAGAGATCCTCAGCATACCTTAAAAATCATCCCACATCTGCAACCACAAGAAATAAGATTCATTAAGAAATAAGAACATGGCTATATATGAACCAAGGTTTTATTATCTAATTCGATAAAAGCAAAATCCTAGCCGGAATAAAAAAAGACTCACTCTACAAATTCATTGAAGTCCAGCCCTGCACAGTCATCATATCTGGAAACCAGGAGTTGAAGGACTAGAGGAGGCACCAAATACCCAAGACTGTAGAGAGCATCCCTTAGTTCTGTTTCATCAATTTTACCACTCCCATCTCTATCAAACCTCTCAAAGGTTTCCTGAACAAGAGTTTGGTTGAAATACATCATTACGATAACTATTAGATAAGAGTATGAAGGTAAGAGAACGATTGGACAGAAGAACTCAAGAGAAACTATCAGATAGTCGCAACTGGGAAGTGGAAATAAGCTAACCCACCATCCTTCACAAAATAAAAGTAAATTGAAAAAACTCTTATCTTAATACTTCAAATAGCCATTTCAAAATAAAACAAAGCATCTCCGAATGCCACACGGTTAAAACAGCCATATTCCTTTGTATAGCCTGGTGAACATTTTAGAACCCCAAAGATTAGAACCATAAGGGATCTTATTGATTTTATTGTTGCCTATTGGTGATCTCTGTTGAAAGACCAAGGTCAATAATATACTCCCTCCATCCCAATTTTGATTACAAATTGGGAGTTACAAGACAAAATCCTACATTTTTTGAAATTATTTTATTTAAATTGGTACATCAATAAAAAATAAAACTTACATATTAAAAAAACTACGTCAAAAGTTCTACTCCCTCCGTCCCGGAGTATTCGTCCAGTTTTGACTTTTGGAACTGTTCATCTAAACACTTTGACTCATCAAATTCTCTCAATGTGTAAGCCTAAATATAGTCATGTGTAATCTTGTTTGATTTGTCTTAACATATAGATTATTACTCCCTCCGTCCCGCTATATTCGTCCACTTTTGACTTTTGGAACTGTTCATCTAAGCACTTTGACTCATCAAATTCTCTCAATGTGTAAGCCTAAATATAGTCATGTGTGATCTTGTTTGATTTATCTTAACATATAGATTATTAATATATAATTTCTATAATTTTTTAATATACAAATTACAAGATAAAATGGATTAAAGAAGTGTATTGGATGGTGTGTAAAAATGAAAGTGGACAAATACTCTGGGACGGAGGGAGCAATATATAATTTCTATAATTTTTTAATATATACAAATTACAAGATAAAATGGATTAAAGAAGTGTATTGGATGGTGTGTAAAAATGAAAGTGGACAAATACTCTGGGACGGAGGTAGTACATAACAAGAGGTGACAGGTATATTATATTTTATCAAATAATCAATGAAAACACACAAATAAACATAAATTATTGAGATGTGAGAGAAAAAAATGTAATCAATTTCGGAACAGAGGGAGTATTTAAGTGGGCTCAATTTGTTTTTATATACTCCCTCTCCCTAAGAAAAAGATTTCACATTATTATTAACACGGTCAAATCTTATCTTCTCTGCTTACATATTTTCCTTAATCATTTGACAAAATAAAAATAGGCACGCCACATATATTTGGTAAAATTATTGATATAGTTCTTTAATACATAATATTTATTTTTACAATTTATACTAATTTTTAAATAAATTGAATTTGATAATAGCTTTCGTCAAATATCGTAAACCAAATAAAGAACCTTTATCCTGAGGGATGGGGGGTGCATGTTGGTATCTATACATATATACATACATGCATTACCTGTGTGTGTGTGTACTATATAAATGTGCACACATATACATATATATAGTGTGTGTGTGTGTATTGAAACTTAAGGACGACGAATGATATGATTGTTGTAAGATTTGTTGTAAAAACTAATTATGGTAACATTAACCATCCTCTATAATTATATCTATATATATATATATGTATGTATGTATGTATGTATAAACGGATATACTTACACTCTCTTCTTCCCAAAATGTTGAGCCTCTACGAAAAGTTGTACCAAACAATGTCCGTTAATTTCTCTTAAAATACATTTTAAAAAATTGAACAATTTACAAATTATGAAACTACTTTTATCACAAATATCACAATATAAAAATTACTCCCTCCATCCCGAATTAAACATAGTCATGCCAACTTATACCTCATAGGGTATAAATTAGAGACTGAGGAAGTATATTTTTGAACTTTATACTTAATGAGAAATTCATGAATAAAGTTTGGCACAAACTCCCAAAATCACCTTAATCTTGGGTCTCAGGGAGTATATATATGCATGTCTGTATTAGTTTACCATGATACTCCCTCTACCCTGAAATAAGATTCCACAATTGACCGAAAACGGCTATGAACAAAGGTGAAACCGGGCAGTTGAGCTTTTGAGCTCAAGAGAGAAAATGGTGGAGAATAGAAGGTGAGGGGTGAGTTAAGACTCATCCAGCTTTTGAATGATTCAAGACAACACGTACATATTAATGCATAGTTTGAAATAGGTTTGAGTCCCAAGGGACACCCAAATTTAAGAGAGAGGACCTGCATTCATGTAGGTGCGAAGCAAACCCACACAGGCGCCGCTAGACGGGGTTGAGTTGGGACCCGGGCTGGGTTTGGTTGGTCTTAGCCTTTGGGCCTAAGGCTATGTTTGGATAATGGATCGAAGGGACCAAATTTAATAAAAGGAGGGAAGGAAGAGCATTATAGAGGAGAGGAAGGAAAAGGATAATATGGTGCTCGGATTAAAATTTTGAGGAGGGATGAAACATAATGGAGGAGAATATTTTTTGTTTGGATTGAATGGAAAATAAAGGGAGCGAATATAATTTCAAAGTAAAAGTAGTTAATAAAGGGGAGTTAGTATTTTCTACCTCCATTGTACTCCAATTTGGAGGGAATGGAATATAAGGGGGAGTGAAAGAGAGGGAGTACTCCCAAATCCTCTCCCCTTCAAACACTTCCAATGCAAACAAAGGATGTAATGCCTCTTTCCTTTCATTTACCTTCCCTTTCTCCCATTCCCTTCAATCCAAACACACCCTAAAAGTGTATATGCTTATGGGCCACAAAATTTTCTTCCACCAGACAATTAAGAGAACCGGTGTGTTTGTTCGAAATACCACGAACGAGTGTGTATATGTTGTTTGAATCATCCCAGAAACATTGCAAAGTTTTGAAGGCAACATTTCACGCTCTATAAGTAAGCCCATTTCCTGGACACGCACTTCGACCATAGTTATTCATACCATCTAATTCCATCCTCTCCTTGCATTTTTTTAGCATTTTATGAAGAAAGTTACATAGCGTCCTTTGTTGACCGAGTCTGAGATTTTGTTTTGATGTTATTCAAAGGAAGTAGTGGTTGTATCTTGTGAGATGATTACCTATAACTGATAACACTTGTACATGAGAAGTTTTTTAAAAAAGGAAGGAAAAAATAAGGCTAATGTGATTAACGATCCCAGCATTCCAACTGATATATCCGAGTTGAAGTTAAGGGTATGAAACATGAAGCCAACGTGGTGGAAAACCTAAGAGAGTGGTGGAATGACTTTCGAGAAAATCACTATATATGCCTAAAAAAGGAAATATTTTCCCATCAAGGAAGTTGTAAACAGAAAATTCAGCATCGTCTAGGAAGGATGCCCCTCAAAAAGACATCAGAAAAGGAACTTACTCTCAAGTCTTGATAATGTCTATTCCCGGAAAAAAAAAGATCTGCTATCTACCCTTTCTTGATAGCTATTGCCATTGGTCAAGGCTAGTTTTAAGTTTGTCTTACTTAAGGGATTGTACTGCTGCTGTTTAAAGATAACAAATTTAAAATGAATAAAAATGGCCAGTTCATTTATATAAAAAAAAGTTAATCTAGAAAAGGAACTGTTCAAGCATATAAATAAATAATTTCAATTAGTTGGTTGAGTGTTCTAATTTATGGCATTGTAGATTAGGACACGTTACCTTTAACTGATTATGGAAAATGGTGATTTTAAATATGCTTCTATGGCTTAAATTTGACAATTGACGCAAGATAAATTCGAAGTACTAGGGAAAAGTTCTAATGAAATCATATTTGCATTATATGCAATGCAATTGTTGCTTAATTGATGATCAATATTTTCTATTTGGACCGAAAAAGCCAAAGTTGACGGATACTCCCGGCCGGAGGTAATATGTGTTGAGGAAACAGCCAAATTTCCTTTCCATTTGATTGAAAGCAATACGGTCCTCTAGAGATAAAAACATAGAGTCATATCATACAAATATACACTATGTGATTTGGAGATAGTGCAAACTAGAGGGAAAAAGTGTTCTCTTTTTCGCATAAAAAGCCTGGCTTGACGCAACATTGAATTATGTACTTACTTCCCAAAACTTCATAGAAAATAAGAAGCAAATGAAGTTTACAATTCTATTTTGATCTAGTCTATTATTTACTTGAAGCTAAAACACTACAAAAATGACTACTTCAGCTCCATTAGCAATGGAAGACAACTCTTTTGTTTAGTAATGTACAACTATTGCAAATCATATATTGTAGATATATTTTTACACTTAATGCTTTAACTATGTGTACTATATTTAACTTGTCTGGGATACTTTTCTCATCAGGAAACATCAAAAGAAATGGAGTTGAGTTTTATTTTGTTCAAATAGGACTTTTTTTGGGACACAGTTAAGTTTTCAAGTAGGACTCGTTTTAGATGGAAGGAGTATTTCATAGCCTTTATTGATGATGGGGCCAGGCCAGTTCAAGTGACATTGAGAGCAATTACATAGGATGATTCGGGTCTCCTGCGGTGCTCCGTTCGAAAAATTGATGGTTCGAACGGAGCACCGCAGGAGGCCCGAGTCATCCTATGACATTCAAAGTGAATGTCACTTGAACCGGGTGATTGGTGATTGCACTAGATATAGTTATATGTATCTTGTGAGAACAAAAAAAACAGGCCATAGAAGCATATTAGAATTATGAGAAGGAGGATGAAAATCAATGTGGTCAGAAGTGATAGAAAAGGAGAAATGTTGCTTCTTTTTGGAAAATTATGTTCCAAAAATGGAATAATTCATCAAGCTAATGACGTAGCCTAGCACACACAAGAATCTTAAAGAATGATGATTTCCATGTTGATTGGTTCAAGTCTAACCCTGAACTTTGGGGTGAGGGTAGTGTGGGGGTGGGAGAGGATGAGATACACTGGGTTCAGGTATGGCCTCATAACCACAAGATATCTCTCCTCAAACAATGGTTAGCCATCCGAATGTTATTCTTATTAGCATGTGCATGTGAATCGACATTAGACTCATTTGTTGAGGATGGTTAAAAACTGGTGCTGAAACACCAAGTTTAATAGCACATTTAAGTATCCTCCATTTGTAAATGCATTAATCAAAAGGTATATTTGGAATGTACGTTAAAACTATATGGGTTTAGCATTATAAACCTCTCAAACCCAATTTTGGGAAATTGAGATATTAATGCTCAAAATTAGCCGCTTGAATATATTAAATGTTCGAAGATGAAATATGGGGTTGATTATAAGGGCATTAAATGTTGAATTTGTCTTAAAGTATAAGGGCTATTCCTTGTCTCCACTAAACATATCTATAAATTCAGGTTTTAAATTTCAGTTAACTATTTTGTGTTATTTTCTCTTTTCGGCCGTTATCTTATCAAGTTACCATAATACCAGATACATCATAGCCAACGGGAAGTAATTCATTGATGCACATAATACTTGTATAAAACAGTAGCCTAATGTCTGGAACCTTTTTTAATGGCATATTGTATTTGAGAAAAAAGTCATTTTCTTTTGCTCCTAAGAGATAAACTACTCCGTTCTGCGGAGTAAATTTTATTCTAACATAATGGATTTCAAACCAACCTTAATTCAAATATAACCTCTCTAAATGACATAATCTAAAGGAATTTCAATATAAACCAAAGGATGAACAACTTCTTACCCTCCATTGCCCAAGACAACTCCACAAACCAGCAAATTCCCTAGGCCTTGTTCACCAAAACCAAAAGAAAATAGCAGTAGTCACATGAAAATGTGATTTATTCAATAAAAAAGGAAGTAATTGAAGTATGAACTAAATAAATTCAGACTCCAGATAAGGCACCGATCCTGAGAGAAGATTCACTAGGGTTCTTAAAGAGAGAGATGAGCAATCGAATTGTCCTGAGACTGAATTTCTGGTAACCGGTAGAGAGGGCCTGTAGAAGCTCCTTGTCTTCAATTAACCCGCTATGATCCAAATCCACCATTTGAAAGCTCCGAATGACATCCGGGTGAGTGCCAGGAGGAAAAGCACTGTACGAGTCGTAGCCATGGGACGGACTCGGCCCGTAATTGCTGCTACTCTGTTGCTGAGACGGAGTTGCCGGAGGAGCATAGCTTGGAACGGAGTAAGTTGCCGGGGCGTAGCTGGGAACGGAGTAAGTTGCCGGAGCGTAACTAGGAACGGAGTGAGTTGTCGTCGGGGGATGGAGGACTGAGGGGGGAGATGCGGGATGGTATGGTTGGGCCAAGCAGGGCTCATCTGTGGCGGGTAATGGCGGAGCTGAAGGAGAGAAAGATTCTCCACCGCCGAAGCCGTTGGAAGCCATTGTTGACAGCTTGAGATAGAGAGATCGGGTAAGGGAAGAAAATGACTCCACTCCTGAAATTAATCCCAAATTCCCAATTCCCAACCAACATAATCGATGTGTTTTGTGGGATAGCGAAAAAGTTAGTGTGGAACTATTCTCAAAAAATTGAAAATGGAGAAAGTATTTTATTATCAGAAAAATTGTGAATAGTGTTTCAGATAAGAAAATATGGAGTTTTTAAATTAATGCTTCGTAAGATATATACGATTGGATTCGTCTCTTAAATACGGAGTACATGTTAGACGAATATACTTTAGATTATAAATTTTTAATTTAAAATTTTTATTATTTATCTGAAACATTATTCATACTTTATATGATAAAAATATACATATTTTAATTTTTCTATTTTACCACAATATAGTTTTCTCATTTAAACCAGCGGTGCAGGGGTTTAGGTATACCGCACTCAAGGTATTTTTTTATTAGTTATAATTTATAAACGCATACTTAATATTTGTCCAGTCGCCACAAAATGCTAGATATTCGGCTTAGGGTACATTCCATTCAACTTATTTTTTCAGCTCATTACTTATTTTTATTAAAATCAAATTTAATCAGATCAGATTAAATCTAATTAGATCAAATCTAATCCGAAGTATTGGTTTAAAATTCAACAATTTTGGGAGTAATTTCGTTAATTATTCAATTATGGAGTAATCACGTAAAATCGTAGACTTTTTAATGTCTTCGTGTGAGTTTTTCCAATAAAATAAAGAAAAAGTACCAAAATAATATTTTCAAGTTTTTATCCCAAAAAAAAAAATTAAAATATCAATAACATTAATATATAATACTAAAAACATTATGGAATATCAATATAAAGTGTCAAATTGACACATGACAGTAGTCATTTTTTGGAATTAAAAGCATAAAACTTATACGAGATATTTACATACTCTATGTCTTACTCATAACAAGGCAAAATTCTTGAAAATAAGGCAACAATAAAATCTTATCTGGTTTTATTAAAGTCTCCGATATAATTTTATATGATCTAATTTAATTCAAGTTTTATTTAAATTATTTTCTATCTAAGTTATCTGGTCTTAATAACAGTAAATAATACAAAGTAAATAACAAGAATAAATTGAAAAAACAAGAAGAAATCACTTTAAATAGGAATAAAACATGAAAAAAATATTCAAATAGGAATTTCATGTTTTTATCTTAAATAAGAGTTTACACTATGTTAATGTAACACTGTATGTGAACATTTCACAATACTTTTTATATTATATATTGGCATGATTGACATTATATATGCATTTTAACTTCAGTTTTGGAAATAAAATTACAGAACTCTTACTTTAATATATTTTTTATGTTTTACTCATGATTTAATCTTTTTTTCCAATAACAAGCTCTATATGATACAAGTGTTTAATAGTAAGATTGTTCAAAAATATCCCATTCAAAAAATACGTCAATGATCCGAACACTCCTACAGTCCTACTCCATAGAAGTAGTATGTGTTAGGCCTTGTTTGGAAAACAACCTTTAGCTATTAGTTGTTGGCTGGTTTGAATGGTTGATTAAATTGACTGTTTTAACTGGCGGATTGTATTAGCTGTTAGCGAAAAACTGTTTGGCAAACATAGTTGTTCATAAATAGCAATTTATGATGTAAATTACATTTTTAGACATACCTCCTAATGTGTTAATTACGAAATAATGTTTTAGACACTGTTTTATCCTAAATAGGAGTAACAATTAGTTAATTTTTTGGATTGTAAGAGCATCTCCAATGTGTAGTGTAAAAATTTGTAGTGTAAATTTCATTTTACACTATCAATAGTCTTTTGCATTTCCATTTTTTATACTTACTCTAACCATATTTTCTATATGATACACTTTTTATAATATTTTATTGTTTTAAGTTACTTATTTTTAATGATTTTTTAAAAAAGACATAATAAATATCTTGTACATATGAAAATGGAGAAGAGGGAAGGAAAAAAATGAAGAAAATTAATTTTTATTCTTTCCACTATCTATAGTCAACTTGTAAAAATACACTTTGGAGATTGCTTTTTACAATACATTGCATTTTACCACTTGATTTACCCTATCCATTGGAGTGTTGAAAAGGCAACATTAAATTGTATATAGTGTATATTTTACGTTGGAGTTGCTCTAATAAAAACAAACTCTATATATGAAAATAAACACTTAGCAAATATATTACGTAACAATATACAAAAAAATCACCAAGAGCACATAGTTAGAGAAAAGAAAAAACCTGCTAGTTTGGCCGAGTTTAAAAAAATAAATAAAAATAAACAAACAAAACAAATAAGAAAACAATTACCTAGAGTACATAATAAGAAAAAAAAGGAAAAAAAATTTACTAGTTTTACAAAGTTTTTGAAACTAAAGAAAAATAACATATAAAACAAATCATACTCCGCATGTAAACCCTTTCTTAATGCTCCATACATAAACTAAATAATAAAAAATCTACATTAGGGCATGAAAAAAAAAAGGAAAAAGTGAACTCTTAAGGGCCTGTTCTTTAGGACTGTAAAAAAAGAGCTGGATGTTGGAAGAAACTAGAAAAAACTGGAAGGACTAGAAGAACTGGAAGGAGCGGGAAGGAACTGGAAAAAACTGGAAGGAACTAGAAGAAACTGAAAAAAACTGGAAGAAACTGGAAGAAACTGAAAAAAACAGGAAAACCTAAAAAAAACTTTAAAAATATTTATTTTAAATTCTTGTTGTTATAAATTATTATTATTATTATTATTATTATTATTATTATTATTATTATTATTATTATTATTATCATTATCATTATCATCATCATCATCATAATCATCATCATAATCATCAACATAATCATCATCATCACGTTATCTTAGTGAATGTCTTTAAGATATAAAAAAAGTATTGTTATTTTTTAAATACAAAAAAACTACTTTTACAAAAAATAATTATAATATAAAGTTAACATAAATATAAAAATATTAAATTTTAAAAAGGCTGTGTAGTTATATTGCACCTCAATTTATTTATGCGGTATTTATTATAAATAATGTATTTGTAATTATAATTTATATATTAAAACATTTTGTTTTAAATATCATACATGTCACATAATCAAACCTATTGTTTCTTTCATGATTAACATTTTATTTTCATTGAATTCCTATTTTTGGAATTAAGACATAGAACTTTTTTGTTTACATTTTTATGTTTTACTCATATTTTAGTCTTTTTCTCTTAGTTCTTTTGACTTACAATAAGTGTGAATCGTAAAAATAGTGAAATGAAAAAAATAATTTATAAACTACAGTTATGAATATAACAATTGTAATAATAATAATAACAACAATAATAATAATAATAATAATAATAATAATAATAATCACATTGGAATATATCATTTTTAGAGTAATTGGTTGAGGAGTAGAAAGAATTTGAAGAAAATGAAAAAAGTTGGAAGAAACTAGAAGGAACTGGAAGAAACTTGAAGAAACTAGAAGGAACTGGAAGGAATTGGAAGATCTGGAAGAAACTGGAAGGAACTGAAAGAAACTGGAAAAAACTGGAAGAAACTGGAAGGAATTGGAAGAAACTGGAAGTTAAGAGTTCAAGCCCTAAAGAACAGGCCCTAAATCAAAATGCTACTCATCCCAGCAGTTGGATTATTGGTTGTTCGATCCCATTCGCTAGGCAAAACAGCTATTCGCCAAACAATTAATTAAAGACCTAAATCAGCTGTTCTTGGTCAAACTGCTAAAAGCTAGCCGATCAGCGAATATCCAAACAAGCCCATAGACTAACAGGTTTATAGTACTCCGCAACATTTAATACTCCTAGAAAATAAACCTTCTAGTTGACTAAATTCGAACAAGGATCTGAATAGAATCCACCCAATATCAGTCTTTCTGCTTATGCTCATAAACACATACGCAGTACTTTCTAACACCAAAGTGTTTAACCGTACAGTTCATTTTTAAGAGGAAGATAAACAGGTTTTAGTAATTACTTTAAAAATTAAATGCAGTTTTCAAGTAGAGTGCACATTCAACATGCTTTAGTCACAAAGCTATATAGAGATGACTAGAACAAGTCCACCGAAGGTTGACTAACACCAACCATGGGGGGGTGACTGGTGTCGACAATGTTGGTAGCCCGTTGGAGACCGATATATGTTGCTTGACAGAGACCTGTTTATCGATTGTAGTCAGAAGTAATGCTCTCAAAAATACCCAGTACGACGGGTGGGGGAAAACTCCCTTTTTAAAACGCGTTTTCCCTTCAACTCCCAACCAAGAAATGGTTCTTGTAATACATAGATGTCAAACTAAAAGATGGGTATGACAGAAAGTTGAGGCACAAAGTACTATCAAGTCTACTACACACACCACTTGGAACACGAAGAGAGAAAATTTCAACACCTAACAATATAACTTACACTTGCTGATACTCACCACTCAAAAGCAGAACGTATATCCTTTCTCCGACTTGCATCACTTCATTTCATGTACTCTAACACACCCTGATGGATTTCTTCAAGGAAGGACACAAAGCCCATGATGCTCGTGAACCCATTCCCTTCTACATTCTACATCTTGTTCCTCTATAAGGAAATTCTCAAATGGTGTTGCATCGTCCTGGCCCGCTCTCATGAATATGAATTTCGGGGTGATGCATCGCTCCTGCTTCCGCTTGTTTATTATCGTTCTCAGTAAACCTGAGGGAAGGGCAAATCTGTCAGAATTAAATTAAGAACAAAGATTTCCAATGAAATTAGGACAAAAGACTTTTTAGGATCTTACAGTCCTGAGGTGGAGGAAAAGGGAGTGAAGGGTCAGGTGTAGATGAATAGTAGACGATGAGAACTGTGAAAGCATCGAGGAAAAATATGGGGCTGCCGCTGGTTAATGGTTATCAATGCAGCACGGCTCAGGGAGTGGCGAGGGTAAGCTTGTTTATCAGGTGATGCAAACGAGGACAGCAGTGGATATGTAGCCAGGTGAAGAGAAGAAGGTTCTAATGCACTGCATCAGAAGAAGTTAGTTTGCAAACAATTAATACAACTTAATAAATAATATGAGGATTAATAGTAGTTTTTATCGAGACAGCGTATTAGGGTTGTAGAGTCCTTGTAAGGGTTGTTGTTGATGTTGTGTGTGTGGTGATCAAGAGGGTTTTTTTTAGGGATATGCATTCATCAAATGCTACCAATTCCCAGTAACATGGTGGCCAAGTCACTAGTCCACATTATCAATTGCAATTCAATCTTTTAGCTCAAAAGGTTTACCCTGATTGCAAATAAATTAAGAAATTAGGTTATAATTTGCAAATTTTACAAGGTTTGGCTAAAATTCAAACACAGAATGAGGTTTTTCTCTTAATTACTCCATATTATCAACCTACACATATGCATGATACAGAATTACAGATCAATACTTACATGTTTCTAAATAGATATTGTCTAAATGTTTTAACCAACAAAGTAACAAGATCATTGACCCATGGACTATGTTTTGCATGAAGCTTAACACTACACATACAAGTCTTTTCAAGATACAAGTTGAAGTTGGAAAGATTTTTGTATATAAAAGGGTACCTGAACAGACACTGGAGGTATATTCTATAGTCTGGATGTACACCTTCTTCGTGTAAGCGGAGAAGAGGGTTTCGTAAGAGAGCAAAAACTAAGCGAGGGAGATGCTGCAACTGTGGGCATTGGGAGAAAGAAACATCGATATGAGCCATGTTTGAACTCCCACGTCCAGACTTTGAGAGTTTGCAAGCTTCATTGTACTGAGCTGTAAGAATTACTAGCCAGTCATGGAGTAGCATTCTTCCTTCTCGATTGTATACCTTCTTCCAACGAAGATTTAATGACCTGCAGATTGATGAACGTTGCAGTATTGCTCAAAGTTTTGATCTAATAGTTATTTAGGCATTTAAGTCGGGGGAAACCTCTTGGTACCATCAAAACGTTAAATGATAGTGCAATTGTTATTAAAAAAAAGGTGGAATTGTGTGCTTGTGACTGATGCATAAGAGAGAGAAATGATATGAGCCAAAAATAAATATTCCATAAATGGAAAGTGGAACTTTTTTTGAGATAGAAGAATAAGGAATAATCAAAACAATTAGTTCAATTTCACTAAATTTTACACATTCAAATTAATTAGGACATTTTTATTTTTTCATTAAAAACAATTACGAAAGTTATATTTAGCTTCTTTAATTTAAATCAATACCCTTTTGAGACAAAAAAAAGTATATGAATCTGACTTTTTTCATAAGATGGACGTATAATTAAATATGATCCAAAATGATCTGATAAATTCTAAATATCCTCCTTAAAAATTCTGAACACAACTAAATTAACCTGTTAGAATAAGTCAAGACAATATCTTGGAAAGTTGAATTCATAGTTAGGATAGTTTTGAAAATACTGATAGTTGGAATTATTTAGAGGATACTGATGATAGTTGTGATAATTTTTATCAACTGTTGATGAGAACAAGAGGTTACTCAAATCAAGAGTAGCAGCAAGAGTTTGTTCCACACTAGAGCAGGCTCTACAGCCTCCACCTCTCAAATTAGGTTGTATATCCCTTTCATTATTACTACTTTTTACTGTTAATAAGTTGCTTTTCAATACACTTTTGTAGTTTTGTTGGTGCCTTGCTTGCTTGTGTCTGTTGAAATCGTTAACGGAAAACAGAGATTCCGATGGAACACCCCACGGCGGTTCGGGGAAGCGGCGGCGTCCTTTTCGAAGGCCTCTATAGAGTCGTCATGCGCCGCACCTCTTGTCTATGTCACCGTGCCGGTGCTTTTCTCGGCGAACGGGTCCGTTCCTGCACTTTAAGCTTTTACGGCGATGGGGATCTGAACAGATTCATCATATTCCGATGTAATTTGGTTCTAATCTCTAGTGCTGATTTTTTTTTTATGGTTTTGTTATCGATGTTGCAGGCGGTGGGATTAAGAAGCTCTGGGAGAAAAACAATGTTGGGGTATTTATTCCAATCAATATTTTCCTGATTTTTGTTTCATTAGCTCCTGATTTGATTTTTGCTCAATCAATTGTCGATTTTTTAAACAATTGAAGCTTTTTCATTATTTTTTTCTGGATAAAAGAGGGCTTCCGACTGCTATGTTTGTATCGATATGCTACATTGCTACTGATAGAAAGTTTGGGAATTTTTCTCTGCCATATCTGATATTCGATGTGTTTTAGCTGTCATCTAAAAGATTTCATGGCACTATTTGATATTGCTCTGTTATACATACGTAGTATATGCTATGAAAGTAGGAAATCCAGGTTTATATGAATCTCAGTCTCTCCGAGGTATATGTTCGCACTCCATATTATTCTTTTCTGCCTTTGGTCATTCGGGTTAAGGGGTAGTGGCTATCTGTGCCAGTTTTTTTTCTTCCAGTGGTTATCCTTCCCACCGTGTCATATTTCTTCTCATATTCCTTCGTAACAGCCTGGTAGGTTTATTATTCCGTATTCATTTCCCCATCTGTTACCCCCTTTGTCCCTTTTTAATCTTCCCTTTACTATTTACTACTCACAGGGTCAAACTATATCTTTTTTCTTTACATGTTTTCATTGATCATTTGATAAAATAAGAGTCAAATTACCTCTTGTTTTGTAGAACATTTGGAGTTAAAAAATATATAATTGTTTTAAAATTTTACACTAGTATTTAAATGTATTGAATTAAAAATAACTCCAATCAAACATTGTAATCCAAAATGGGAAGATTATGAGTTTAGTGGGATATGACTTTAAATTACGCAGGGTACTTTTATACAACAGACCAGTAAGTAGGGAAGTAGCAGAAACCTTTATTTTTTTTTTCTCTTCACACACTATCTTTGGAGTCCCTAGATGTTTGGTTCCTATCCTACTTTGCAAAGTCATGCAATAACACAACTCATAGCTTCCATATTCCCAGCTTCTTGTGTATTGGAGCTGGAGTCTTAAAAGAAGTTATTGCTTTCATCTTTATTATGGTTTGTTTGGTAATGGCTTATGGAGGGGCCAAACATTCATGTTCTCATCTTCTTTGGACACACTCTGTATGTGAAGAGGCCTCGTTGGTGGAAAATTCAGCAAGTTTTTACCTTTCTGATTATTTGTCTCTACTTTTATTTGGTTTCTTGAAAGTTTTTTGCCACTCGCTTTGCTCCGATTCAAGACACTATATCTGAGTGAAGTTTTTTGCATTCATCCTTAGGTGTTAAACTTGTGCATTGTGATCAGTCATGATTGCCCTTTTTTCTAGGGATGCCATTGAAAGTTCTCAACAAATCTTGTTGTTTTGGTGCATCTTGGGCTTTTAGTTAGTCTTATTATCATACTATACTTTCCCAAAGTTTTAATCAAATGTTTGGTGACTAACTTACATTCATCTCAACCACGAATGCAGAAACGTTACGAAGATATTCCAGTTTTGGGACAGAGGCCAACGGAATGAACTGCGCCAGAGTGCACATTTCAAATTGCTAGTTTATTAATAAACATCTCATTAGTGTGCGCCATGCAAGCCATGAGACTATTTTTTTTCTTCTCGTGAAATATTTTGTATTCATAATTACTCTTTGAAGTATTGCTCTGAAATTACAATTGGAATATATTCCCGCGTCTGTCTTTTTCTTTTTAAAAAAATCCATGCCCCAAGTTAGCAGCACTGCATGTGATCTGGATCAACGAGCTATGCTTTGCCTGGATATTGCTATCAACCAATTATGTTCTTGAGCTATAAATATATTGGTGCCGTTCAAATTAGGCTTTGCACGAATTTACCCAGGTCCCTAGCTTCATTTGTTGTTATATTTGTAACTGAATTATTAGAGTCCATATATGGTACAACTGACTGTATGAGAAGTAAGGTACATTCGGGTAGTACTCATTTTAAAGTAAAGTTGTACTCATTCTCGTACAAAACATAAAATCATAAATATTTATTTTGAAATAACATAGTACTCATTCTGAAATAATGTAGTACTCGTTTTTCACACATTTGTTTAATATAATTATTTCAGTATTATATTCATTTACAAATAGCGTAGTGTTCATTTTGAAAAAAACTTGAATTCATTCTCGAATAAAGTAGTGTTATTCTTAATTGACTTACTGTTCATTTCACCTTTGCTGTTGAAATTTATAATTCTTCTTCCTCTTCCTCGTTGAAACGCTGAAATCTTCTGTGTAGCGGACTTAGGGTTTCGATATTTACGACTTCTCTGATTTGTGAAGCTGCCACCTAGGGTTTTTGCCACCATCATCTCACCATACAACAATGTCCCTCTTTCTTAAACTCCATGAAATGAGACTTTATCTTGGACAAGGAGGTAGTGTTTGAACATACGCACACACTTAAGTCCCTTTTTGCTAAGCCACTACTAAATTGGAAAATTGTTATGAGCACTCTGATAATTCATACTCTCTCCGTTCTCAAAAAGAGATCTTGATTTGACCAAATGTAAAAATAAGGAAGTGTTGAATTGTATTCCCTCCATTTCATAAAACCCTTCCTCTTTCGTTGTTTTCCAATTCCTAAAACACTTCCAATTTTTTTAAAAAAACCACTTTTACCCCTATTTTTTCATACCTTTCCTATCACATCATACTTTTTCACTAATAACCAAACTATCACATCTTACTTTTACCCATTACATCAGGGGCAAAATTGGAAAGTCAACCAAAATTACACTTTCCTTATTTTGGCTCAAAGTCAAAATAGGAAGTGTTTAAAGGAACGGAGGGAGTAGTTAACTTCCAATTTTGTCCTTGATGTGATGGATAAAAGTAAAATGTGATGGATAGATTATTAGAGAAAAGAATGATGTGATAAGTAGGATATGAAAAAGTAAGGATAAAAGTGATTTTTTAATAGAAAGTGTAAGTGTTTTGTTAGAAGTGAAAAAAATGAAAGAGAAAATATTTTTTAGAACGGAGGGAGTATTTACTATTGAACAAAATGTGCTCACTAAAATAATAGCATATGTTGACCAGGTTGCTTCAAAATGTAATTTTGAACGAAGTACTGAACAAAAAACAAAACAAGAGTAATGAAATTAAGACTAACGCAAGGGTCCTAAGACTCAAATACATTATGCAACATATATATATTGTCCAACAAATTGAGAGCCCATTGTCTTATCTTTTCCAATTGTGAAAAATAGACACACCAAACAATATGCTTAGCTTCACATTAACAATGGCAGCAAATATATATCCCCATTCTTAATCAATTCTCTACATGTAGTCTTGGATAGAGGAGAATATGAGGAGGTCATTCGCTCTTGACTGCACGGTACATGTGGCGAACAAACACAAAGGAGGCAAGAAAGCCGACTGTTGCAAGAGCAAGGAAAAATCCATAACATAAGCAAGCCGTGTAGCCGAAGAAGAAACTCGTCTGCAAGAAGCCACTCATGTTTGATTTATAATAGAAATAGACGCTATGGGCAAACATAAATGCAGCAGTCGAGCCTCCACGGAAAATAGACCTGAATAATGATGTGAAAATGAAGAAAAATCAATAATATAAGGAGATTATTCAGTAACAAGGATTTGTAATAATAAGTGAAAATAGGGGGAATTAGTTGGTCTATTTGGTTTGGGTGGGAAATATTTTCCCTGAAATTTTTTATTCCATTTTGGTAATAGGAAAATATTTTCCAAAGAAAATGTTTGGAAAATAGACCTGAATTTGAATTAGTTTGGGGAGATTCATCAGTTGCTGAGTTTTCTTGAAGACATGTATAAATGCAATATATACATATATATCAATGACATAAAGGGTTATTCAGCAATGAGGATTTGAGATAATAAGTGAAAATGAGTACAACTAGTTTCCCATCTAGTTTTCTTCCTTTTTTATTGCCTGGCATTTTCCGAGTTCCAAACGGATCCCAAGTATATACAGACTATAAGCAAGGGCATCTATCTGAAAGAGAAAGAGAGAGAGAACATACCGCCGCCACCACTCATGGTCTTCAGCAGTGAGCTGAAAACATGTCAAACCAACACTTAAGACAGCAGTGAGAAAGACGAGGATTATGAACATCACGAATAAAACTCCGGGGAGAGTTAATGTTTTATGGGCCCACATGCTAGCATATAAATAGTGCAACTCAAAGGCAATGGCGCTGTAAGGCAACAGACCAGCCAGAAACATTTGACAGGGAGTCTTTTGATGCCACTTGAGTGAGGGAATTTCCCTTGCAGATTTCTTCTGGGAAGAAGAAGGTGCTTGATGAAATTCTGACCTGAAACGGTACCCGGCCCCACCGCCGAGTATAAGCAATGGGATTGCAACAAGGGCATGTATAAGAAGAATAACCAGTATGGTCGCGAAAGGAATTGCTGACGTGGCCCTGAATGACATGGCCACTAAGTTTAGAAGGAACCCCTGAAGTAGGAACGGCACCAGGAAGATTATTGCAGCGAGAATGGCACTTCTTTCCTAGAGATAGAAAAAATCTTTCCATCAATGTTTTTCTCGTGTTTGGTCTTAAATTCATCCCAAGAATTTCCCCAATTAAATTCTAGGAAAGAAAATGTGTACACTATGTTTGGTTCGTGGAATTCGAAAGGAGAAGGAAAAAAAGGTTTCTCTCCTTTTCTTCATCAAAATGGAAGGAAAATCATTTTCCTTCTTAGTGCACTTTCTTCTCTCGTTTTCTCTTCCTCCCACCGTACTTTTCTCTTCCTCTCTAACCAAATAAGAAAAGTTGTTTTCTCTCCCATTTTCTTTCCTTTTCCCTCTCAAACTCCTTGAACCAAACATAGTGGTATAACTATTTATGGACTTTTGAAACTTGAAGAACCAATCGTGCACAACTCACAAAGTTGAAGGACCAATGATAGATTTTAGCCAGAAAACATAAAAGAATACAACAACAACAACCCAGTTAAATCCCACAAGAGTAGGGTCTGGGGAGGGTGTGTGTCCGCAGACCTTACCCCTACTCGAAAGTAGAGAGGCTGTTTCCAAAGAGACCCCCGGCTTAACGTCGAAAGTTGCATTGCTTGACTAACTGCTACTTCATTAATTAAAGAAGCGCAAACAGTTTAGAGATCCGTTTTGATTTATTCCATCACACCCAAAGCCAAAAAATGGTGAAATTTTGGCTCCATCGGAGATGATGGAAATAGAAAACATAAAAGAATATTAAAGCAAAAGAAAGTGCAGAACTTTATTTTAGGTATTTGTCAATTCTCATTTTATTTATTTATATTTCTTATTTAAAGATAGAGAAAAAAATGTTAAAACATGTACTCCAGCAACAACAACAACAACAACAACAACAAACGACCCAGCAAAATCTTACAAAAGTATTGGGGGATAATTGTACGCAACACTTACCCCTACTCGGAAGTAGGGAGGTAGTTTCCTGGAGATTCCAAAGTAAAACCAAACATAATAAAATAGTTTTCCTTACCACCTTTCTTTCTTTACCAGCATTTTAAGGGATTCAAACATAACCCCTAAACCCGTGAAAGTGATGGGAAATGAGCAGTCTGCTGAAAAAAGTATTGAAAACTTACCCATCCAGTTTCAGCAAATTTACTGTAGAAGGAGGCAGAGGAGAAGCCTGCAATTGCTGAAGTAAGAGTATAAATGACGACCAAAGAAGTAGAGAGAGCTCCATGGTTATAGGGATATAGAACACCAAGAAACGACAATGTAAATAAGAAGCAAATCCTGCAAAATTAGAAATGTAACTAATAATTCTCATTGTTTATAATACTCCCTCCATCCTATAAAAGAATTTCATATATCCTTTTTGTTTATCCTAAAAAGGTTCTTCTTTATTTTTCAAGGAAGGAATTGTATGGTTCACACAATTTCTCTTTCCCCCGTGCAAAACTCAACGTCACACTTTCGCCTTTATTTATATTTTATAACCGTGTCCTGTCAATTGTGGAACCTTATTCTGAGAGGGAATAGTATAAAATAACCGCTTCCCTCCAAAACCAGACTACCAAACATTCCCTAGGAGAACATTAAAACAGTAAAACTTACAAAGCCAACAACTGGGTACCGGTGCCTATAATGGCACAGAACAGAGGCATGTTTGGAGGACATCTGAACACATCGCCATGCAGATACTTCCACCCCACTTCCTTATCTTCCTCTTCATCTCCACCAGAAAATCTAGGCATATATCCAGCACGGAAACATTACATATAAACACAGCCATGCACACTGGTCCATAGCAAGTAGCAGTTTTAGGGCAGCATTATTATAACTAAGAATCACAACATAATATTACTTCCTAAGGTCATTCTTCAGGCGTTGCATTAGAACCACGACGAGAAACCCTGTTAGGAGAAAGGTGATAACAACTGAATTTATGAATGAGAACCAATGAACTTTCTGCAGCAGGGGAAGTAGGGAAGCCTTTGAATATCTAACCATTCTGCTCTTAAGCTTAGTTGGGGCCTCCTTCCAGAACACTGAATAACTGAACTCAACATCAACCTCAATATCATCTGTTATATCAACAGTATGATTCGGATCACTAAAGGCATGTGCTTCAAGGACTTGATTGTCATTATATAGAACATCAAATCGAACATGACTGAAGAGGAGATACTTGTTGGGTCCTTTTCCATCAAAAGTCCAATTTCGGTCCTCTACTTTCCCAATGAATCCCCAAAATGGGAGGTCATCATAGTAATTTTGAAAGTAGAAATCATTAGCGACAACACTCCTGAATTTAGCTACCTCATCACTGCTGAGGTTCTTACGGCACAGAAAAACATGGGATTTATTCACTGCAAACTTCAACTCATACAAGGTGTTGGTTAAACGGTCTCCATTGAAAACCTCCCTAATGGATTCCTTCTTGTGTATCATTTGGCCTGTCAGTTAAAAACGAGAGGTTCAAAGCATGAAAGGCCAGAACAGAATGTCAAGTGCACGCTTCATAATGTGCATTGTTACATCAGCTATTTTATGTGTTTGAGATGTAATAGTAAAACAAATAAGAGGAAACATAAACACTTTGCCTCATCCAAAGACCTACATAGTCTAGAAAACGGGTAGCCAGGGTAGGTACCAGACATAAATGCTAACCTGGAGAGCAGAAAGGCAAGTCATAGTATTCATAAGTTTCACTGCAAGAGAATAACAGATAACAAAGAGTAAGAGTTTGTAATCAAATGTGAGAGTTCCAAATGTTTTAAACACTCAACAAGTTAATGCCCATACGCTAGAAAGAAAGCCACCCATTTCAAAGCTCATCAATGAAACTCTTTAAACCTCAACAATGTGATGACTCCTAATGAGGAAACAAAAACCTTCTCTATCTGCTTATGTCATCCTAAATCAACACATGCCTTTCCACTACCTATAATAGATAGAGAGACTGTTTACGGAAGACCCATGGCTCAAAGGACAAAGAAAACAGATCAGTACAACTCCAAAAGAACATAAAGGTCACACAACTAGCACCGACAAAATGATGAAAGTCCATTTATAAACACCCGAAAAACCTAGCCAGAAAACAGGGCCTTGAAAACGCTGATGGAATGAAGGATTTTAAATATATCTATTCTTATACTCCACTGGTGACTGAAGCATAAAATGACGGTTGCTCTTTCTAAAAGCTTCTATGGGGATTATGCTGGGATAAGCCTTAAGCTTTTTTCTTTTACATTTAAAGAAAAATACCCAAAAACATGCTACTCAGCAGGGGTGAGATCTTCCTTGCACAATTCCTCCAACTTGCTCAAACATTCTATTAACTCAGTTACTCACAAAGGGATTCTTTATTGCATTAGTTTTTTCAAAGATTTGCTAAATTCTACCTCTTCAGGTAGACACACTTCAGGTCTAATTAGTGGCACATCCCATAAACTGCTTCTAGTCGGAGCCATTTTTATTCATTTCATCACTCAAACTGCAATAATTCCAATTGTTCAAACCTCTCAACTCTCATAAAACATGGAATTGGCTCATCCAACTCTGCACTTTTTGCAATTCCCAAAGTGAACTCCTACCTTACAGTGCAGCAATTAACTCAGAAAATATACCAGTTACATTACCAATCCATTATGCAAAAAAAAAACAGTAGGGGTTTCATTCTGATATATCTTGTGCCATTACCCAACTTTACCTCAGATTCAAAAGCCCAGCTCACGGGTTAACCCAATACCAGAAGATATTTGATGACCAGAGCCGGATAATAGAAGCAGTGCCAAATTTATGGAGGAAAAAAAGAACCAAACAAGGGTACCTGGGATTGTTGAGGGGACCCACTTTGTTGACATAGAAAGGGACTTCATCTCCTACATTGTAGCGACGATCGTTTGGTAAGGCCAGCACCGCGCCGACTAATGTCAGCAGAATGGCCTGAAGACGATGAGCGAGAATATCACCCATTGGAATTGGAATGGAATGCAAATGTTGGAGAGCTCAATCAGCTCATTGTATGCGTCTTCATTTGGTACCAATTCTTAATCCTCTCGATTTTAAGAGTGGGAATATGGTGGCAGTAATTACTCCTTTCTTCAAAAAATATATCCCTCCATCCGAAATATATTTTATAAAAATTTGATATTTGAAAACTACGTTTTGATATATTTTATAAAAATTTGATATTTGAAATATATCCCTTCACGATCTTCAATATTGCACTTTGACTATTAATATCTATATTTATACCTAAATATATTTTATAAAAATTTGATATTTGAAAAATACGTTTCATTATGAATATATTGATATTAAATTTACATCATAATACAATATGTTTTTTCCACAAATCATAGTCAAAGTTTATAAACTTTGACCAAGAAAAATCAAATGTGAAGAACATTTTCGGACGGAGGGGGTATTATTTTTTAAATCATTTTATATGAAAAATTATGTGAAATTAAAAAAAAATTATATCAAAAAGATATATAAAACTAAAGGGGACATGACTATTGTATTTTATCAAATTAATAACGAAAGCAGACCAACAAAGTAAATAAAATTTGACTCTGTGAATAATGAACGAGAATGATAATTTTTAGACTGAGAGAGTATTTATAATAGAATTGACTAGTATCCTTCCCGAAAACATGAGACTTATGGACTATTGTCCCGACCTGAAATATCTCGATATCGCCTCTATAATATTTTATTTTGTTCGAGATGACAAAATTATGTCTTGAACATGTCTCTAACCATTTTAAAATAAGACATGACCGGGACACATAAATATTTTTCTGTTCCGTCTCGTTGTCCCGTATATATGTATATATCTACTTATTTATTTATTTATTTATATAATGATATAATACATAAAAATATCACAGTTTTTGTCTTTCCCAAAATAGGTATAAAAAATATCCATATTCGAATATTCTAAAAAATGGAAAAGGATCGAAACACCAAAGAATCCAGACCGTTCTTACCCGGCCTACCTTAATTTGTGGCTCATAGTTAAAAAAAGCTTATAGATTTGACTTTTGACGTATGTTGTAACATTTTTTATGTTTCCTTATTATTCTATATTTTTAGACCAACATGTACTTAGAGGCCAAAACAACCAGTACCATTAATAGAGATGAAATGAAAAAGATTATGAAGGGTAAGTTACTTCCAACAATCAAGGAAAAATGGCCAGGTCCAACAAAAGATGTAAAAATCTAGCAAGACAATGCTCCATATGTGGATATGAATGACCCCGAGTCTGTACAATCTGCACAAGAAGGCAATTGAAACATTAATTAAGGCAAGTTAGAAAATAACCCTCGTATTGACCGGTCTAATAATTAATTAATTTTATAAATTAAATAAAATATTAAGCCAGGTTTCGGGGCGTTACACAAACATCCCATGCTAAAGTAAACTCTTAATTGCATTCCTAGAATTATATTATAAGATGTTTATCAGAATGACTATTCTGATGTTGAGACTAACATCTTGTCACTTAGTATAATTCTAAACGGTCTATAGTCAAAGCATTAACGAAAGTGGGATATCGTTAGTGCGTGTGAAACTAGTGAGACTTAGATGTTTGACCTAATCTCTTAGTCAATGATGGAGTGTTTGCATCTACTTTCGGGACAATATTATCGTTAATAATAGGATGTCTGACCTGACCCACCTTAAGGATATTGCCTAGACTTTTAGTCTATGCTCTAAGTGTCCTTAATGCGACTATTGGTATAACGATCCTTAGACTTGAAGTATTACGTTTCTTCGAATGCGTGAACCCGTATGCTTAGATTCATTGTCCTAAGCCGTATGAAACAAGGATGGTACACAGGCTTTGTATTGGGCATGTCGTTGCGCGTATCCGAAGACGTAGATTACGTACAAAGAATTTGTCATTGCTACTTTAGCAGAATAATGTCTTGTAGAGGCCCACTAATAAGTATGAATGAGGAAATGCATGGTCATGCTGAGATGAGTTTAGACATCTGTTCTCATCGGTAATACTTATTAATCAGTAAATAACTTAATGGCTACAAGTTGGCTATTTTATATCCAAAAAATTGCTCCTATGTACCCTCAATTTTGCGATAAGAACTCGCAGGTCCATTATTTTTCAAAATGTACTCCGGGGCACCTTAAAATTTCCGAAAAGTTACTCCGGGGTGACAATCCGTCATTCTCTCCGTCAATTTCCATTTTCCGTTAACTTTTTCTTCTTCTTCACCATCTTTCAGCCTTCCTTCTTCTTTTCTTTTTTTTTCTTTTCTTCTCCTCCTCCTTCTTCTACGCCCTCAATCCCATCCAGCCCCCTCGTCCCTTCCCTTTTTTTCTTCTTCTATTTTTTTCTTTTCTTCTTCTATTATTATTGTTATTATTTTTATTATGATGATTATTATAATTATAATTATTATTATAATTATTGTTGTTGTTAGATATTACGGAGTATTATTTTATTATTTGTAAGTATTTGTTATTATTATTATCATTATTTATTATATATTCATTATTTTATTTAAATAGTAGTTTTACTAAGGCCCCATGAAAAATTTGTATGTGTCCCCATTAACTTTTTTCTAATATTCACTTGCGTTAACAAAAGTTAAAATATTTTAAAGCTTTAATTGAAAATTAATTTTTGTAATATATTTATGTATAGTTTATAAAATTAAGATTATTTATTCACTTGGTTATAAAGTATACGTTGTAATTCATAATAATAATAATAATATGAAATTAAAACTATTTTTATCATTTCATATGATCTTTAAAAAAATCTAAAGGCACTTATCCATCTGATTCTCATTTCAGGTCCTCTCATTTTCGGGATTCACTACTACCAATGACGGTTGCTGACGCAAGATGATGATAAAGAAGGAGAAAAAGTTAACGGAAAATAAGAATTGACGGAGAGAGTAACGGATTGTCACCCCAAAGTTACTTTTCGGATATTTTAAGGTACCTTGGAGTACGTTTTGAAAAATAATAGGACCTGCGAGTTCTTATCACAAAACTGAGGGTACCCACCAGCAATTTTTTGAACGTTTCGTATGTAAATCCACTCTTGACAAATAATATGTCGTTGGAAATCTTTCGTAAAGATCTACCAACGATACTAGTATTGAATGTAAAATTTTGATATTATGTTCTTCTCATATTTCAAAATAAAAAAAGTTAAATTTATAAATAATTTTTTTCTCCATTACTTAACCAATTTTTAGGCCGATTTTTTTTGGGACCTCTCCTAATGCTATTCCTATGTCTCAAATTATAACTCCAAATTTGACACGGTACGGTGCTTAAAAAAATAAAATTATACTCCCTCCGTTCTAATTCTTTCTTCCCAGTTTGACTTTTCCCCATTTTTAATTTTTGGCTTTGACTTCAAATTTTACCCTCCTTAAAAAAGATTTTTTGAAATTTTTTTTTACAATCATTCAAAATATAGAGTTAGAAGATAATTGGTGTAAATACATGAGGGTATTAATGTCATTTGTCATCTTTTTTTATCTAATGGGAAGGTAATTTTAGGACGGAAAAAAAGGGGAACTGGGAAGAAAGTTTTGGGACGGAGGGAGTATGTGTTAAAATGCATCTAATTTAGGAAAGAGTTTGTAATATCCTACTTTTCGTAATTTATATCGGGAAGATACATTGCGATGGCCGATATATGAATTGTAATTTATGCATTATGGTTTAATGTGAATGCAATGTGAATATGTGATGATAGATATATGCACTATGACTTATTATTTAATTTTGTCCAAATTTTAATCAATTAATTTGTAAATTAGGGAATAATGACTCCTTAATTAGTGATTTTGTATGCGGAAAAAAACCCTGCAAATGCATTTTATTGAGAACAAGTGTGATACAAATTTGACGAATAATTTGCCTTCAAACCCACATCATAATACATATCGATCTACCATTTGAACTAAAAGATAACAATTTGTTTTTTCAAGTAGACTCATCTTGCACTTGGACTTATTAAAGATGCATTGTTAAATTTTAAAATAGGCATTATTCTACGTATTTCTAACATATATTCAAATATATCACAAAACTTTTTAAATGCATCATCGTTTACATAAAATTCACTTTCTAGAATATACAGATGCATGCATCATATTGTGTCGGAAGAATTTCCTAATAAGATGAATCAACATAGTTCAAAGAAATTTTTGAACATTTTAGAAAAAATCCAAGACATTATTTTAAAAAAGATTTGACGTTTTTATAACAAGTCATAGGAGGAATTCATATTCATTGCAACTCACCTAAGTATTAGATAGTTTTATCGTAAGGGAAAAAAGATTACGGAGTATTAGATTTTTTTAGTGCAAAAGAAGGTGAGATAATTTCATTGCATATAAGGAAATTACATGAATCAGGCCCCAAATATAATGGAAAATCGCCACATGTGGCTAAAATCACGGAAAACTAACCAATTGGAAATTCGCCCAAGTCAAATATCCCTTTTACCCTTTCCTATGCGTGAAAAAAATTAGATAAACTCCTTCGATCGGACGCTCACCATTCATTCTCATCTTTGATCGGATGCTCACTATTCATTTCATTTCTTTCATAAGATTGCATTATCACTGAAACCGATATATATATAGGGTGATTCCTGTGAGAATGGTGCTTGGTGAAAGAAATAAGAATAAGTATCATCCATTTGATTAGTGGCACGGGACGATCAAGATTTAGTAGTGCATTTAATGACTCAAGTAATTTATTTTTGTAAGGTAATCACGAGAGTGCTAATAATTAGGAATAGACCTGGCAAAAAATGACCCGACCTGTTTTTGACCCGAGACCCGACCCGAAAATACTGGGTTTTGAACAAAGGTTTTGCTGACCGAACCCGAAGTTGACCGAACCCGAAATGACCCGCTAAAAATGGGTCAAACCCGACCGAACCCGAACCCGACCTGACCGACCCGCTAATCTAAGGTTTTTTCAGAATCATACATTTTAGTATGAAATATAGTGTTATAAAA